AGTCAACATTGCTGTCGCAAAACAACCCGAGATTTTGTACTTCTCTCATTTTGCATTCCAGATTTTCCCACTTCCGAACTCCCATACATAAATTAGCTTCCTTACCTTCATAATGTTTACTAAGTCTGTTTGATAATAGCGATCTTGGTGTGCATTAGCAGCTGCTAAAGTGAGAAGATAATCATTCCTTGCATGGATAGCCTTGGAATTACACTCAGATCGTCGTGCTTTTAACTACAACGAGAGATGGAAGTTAAAAGATAGTTACTAATGAGAAGTTAAATGACCAAACATGTATTAATAGTAAATTAACATGCATATGTATATATTAATATAGTCAAAACTTTAATAGCTTAACAGTTTTGTTAATGGTAAGGGGATTTCGAATGCATTTTTCTCTCATGCAGTTGGTAATTTCACATGCGGTCTTCAAAGAACAGTTATAAGTCCCACTAGAAAAAATTTTCCTTGTAAATTTGGTCGTATGTAATTCTGCGCTCCGACTGCTGAAGCGTCTGCTCTTATCTCACTACTTGCTCTGACAATCTATCTTCTGAAATGTCAGTCATCTCTAGATTCCAGACAACTTTGGTCATATGCCTCCTGAAATATGGTCACGTGCCTCGTGAAATTAGCTGCAAAGCATGATTATAAGAAACGTTAAGGTATTTTTATACTCACCTTTACACTTGCCTTCTGCAAGCTTATTCTTGACTGAAAAAGACTAAGTTTGGACCTGAAACAAAAATTAAGAGAGATTACTGTCTTATACTCATTCTACAAAAGTATAGGATAAATAGGGCTCTGCACTTCATTTCTGCAACAATTTAATTTAAATAATTTTTTATGCTTAAATTGGTTTTTGTATAGTTTTAAGAAAAGCTTGAGGATCAAGGAAGATATTACAAATTATGCTGAGCTACATCAATAGCATCTTCATTGCGTGTTCTGGAATCTTTTGCACAGCTTATCCTGACTTTTGAACAAAATTTAAATACATCATGGGTGGCGGCTGCAACTCAAGATATTTTGGCTTGATGTAAATCAAACAAGAGCTGTAAATTTGAGCTATTGGTCATCTGCTGGACTATTAATGCAAAATCATTAGTAATTATGTTCCAGCAAGCTGGAGGAGTACCCATGTACGCACCCAGGTTTTTAAAAGCAGAATTGGTCTGATTTTCACATTTGGATTCATGAAAGAGAAATTAGAGAAGTAATTTATTAGCTATTTGAAACACAGTGGTTAAAAAATAAATAAGAGAACAGAACTGGGTAAATAGCTATTTTAATCTGGACATTACTGCACTATGAATCTGGCCCGAAATTCCCAAGCTCAAGTTTTTCGGTTGGGTTTTTGGTTTGGTTTGGGTTTTGTTTGGTTTTTCTTTTTAATTTCTTTGGGAATTATAGGTAATCTTATCAAAGCTCTTCTCTTCATCATCCATCCCTCATAAAGTGATAGACAGAAAAAATTCTCTAATGAAACCACAATTTCTGTTCATTTCCTAAGAACAGCTCTGAGGAATTTCTCAAATAAAGAAATAAACTTGCAAAAAAAGGGTAAGGCAAACTCCCGTAAGACAGGCCAAGCTCCAAACTGAAAACACGTGAGTTATTTGCTTTCCTGAAAGGAAGGAAATCAACTTCTTTAGGACATCAAGGAGCATAAAAACCTAAAGCCTCAAAAATTTATCTTCAAAAACGGAAAATAGCATCCCAGCCCCCCTCTCCCTCCAAATGGACCGATACCAAATTTGAGATCTGTGGAGAGAAAAGGAAGTAAGCAGCCTTTAATATCAAAAAGAGTGTCAGCTCACACACTGTCCCCTGAAAAGGTCAAATTAAAGCAGGCAGTTTAACTTCCTTCCTAAAGAAACCAGCCTAAATGAGTTGTACTTGACTATCAGGGTAAAAGCATGCTTGAAACGGGTACAAAAATGTATGTAAGCAAAAAGAAATAAAACCTGGCACAAGCTCATCGCAAACAATTGTCTTTCTTCTAAAATAATATCAAGTGTAAAAACTAATACAAGTACAAATCTGCTTTATACGCATGCAATTATTTCTACATATGCTATTATAAAAACATACTTGGCCTCAATATCAGCTTTCTCCCGCACTGCTTGAGCCATCTGTTCAGTCTCAAAATATTTCTTTTTGCCTTTAGCTAAATCTTTTACTGTCTCTTGTAATTCAGCTTGGATCCTTGTCAACTGGTCCACGCACTGAAAAAAAAAACCATTCGGGAAACAAAACATTAATGGTTGGGTTTTTTTCATCCAAATAATACTGTCATCATCATTTTATTACTCTTCATTACATTTTATATGGAATGACGCGGGCTCCAAGTCACTCCTGGTCAATTATTCATGCCTTTCTTTTAAAGCTGATCAGAACATAAAACCGTCTTTCCTCCTTTCTTTCTGCTGCTGGTTAACTATTCAAATTCAACGATAACTTGCAAATTAAACATAAAAGTTCTGAAAGCTTTTGATGAGGTAATTAATTGAAATAATTGGAATACAACTGGGAAAAATCCAAAGGCAATCTACCAGAGGTGATAGAAGAAATGATTAATCCTTCTTTCTCTAAAATTTGAAACAGAAGACAAAAGCTACCATGTAAAACACAGCAACACAACAGCAACAAGAACAATTTGATAAACATTATTTTAAGAGCTCATTTTTCTCAAACTATTTGGAGTGCTTTCCAACAAATAGAGTTATGTCAGAAATCAGTGCAAGTCACAAAGGCAAATTAAAGGATTACAGTGCATAGCCAGTCAAGGGGGAAAATAAGTAGTGAATTAATTCCTTATTTGGCTTTACCTATTAAACTGTCTTGATCTCAACTCACAAGTTTTTGCACTTTTACCCTTCCGATTTTCTCCCCCATCCCGCCGGAGAGAAGCGAACGAGCGGCTACGGCGGGGCCGAGCTGCTGACAGTGGTTTACTCACAACAATTACTAAAATGTTCAGCAATTCTCCAAATATCCTATCAGCTTCAAAAAAACATTTGTGGGAAAGGGTCTGTGTTAAGCAGAAAGGATCTACTTAACAAAATAAATGCAAACGATCAATGTCTAGAATTATACTACCTTTAAAAGAGATTTGTAAAGATTTTCCTTTGCCCAAACTGGCTTAAATACATGTAAGAGTGATAGTTCCCTGCATTTATATTTAATTATAGATATTACCGACTAGATGTGGTCAATGAAGGCTCCAGGCTCATACTTAGAGCCTGGAGCTAGCTTACGGAAACCAATCTGCCTTTCCATTTGCTTCTCTGTCCTTCAAAGACCAGACCCAAGGTCCCACCTCTCTTCCCATCATTATCCATACCTGACTTCTCCTGCCACACACTGTCCTCTTACTGAACACCCCTCCTAAACACCCCAGGTTTTTCATTACACTAATTATTAACGCATGTAACCTCCTTCACATGCACTGCAAGACTAATAAGGTGATGGAATCCAACAACGTAACATTAATTTCACAATATTCAACAATTGTTAAAAATAAAATCCAGCCGCCTGTAAAAAAGGAAACTTTATGTTTTGGTCAATAGAAATTGCTCGTCTTCTCATCACATAATTCTGTTCTCACTAAAAATGTCAAATAACATTCTGGCTATGAAGTACATAAAAATTCATGGAAGTTCAGACTAAAACCAGTATTTGATGTGTGCAGACCAATAAAGCAACAGGATCCATAAGGTAAGCTTCTTGGAGCGTGGCTTGGGGAGTAGCGGAGGGCAGGATTGGGTTTTCTGAAGACCTCTGAGTGTATGATAGAAAAATGAAAGGTAGAAAAATCTCTATTTATTGGACAGCTGACAGAGACCTAAAATCATTTCAAAAGGACTGGGTTTTTGCTACATCAATCAGTATTTTGATCCCTGAAGTCTCCTGCTGTCATCAAAAAATTAAAATATCAAATAACTCCAGTTGTTAACACGATCATTTTAAAAGCATAAAATAATCTTTGCTTTCGCATCTCTGAAGAATAAAAAAATTGTCATTTAGGGGTTTGGGGTTGGGTAGGCTGTAGTTGTACGTAAAAAGCTGTTTCAGAGAGCCGACAGAGATGGTTTCTTGTTGCGCTGCTTCCACGCAGAGCAGTTTTATTCCATTTGCCTTTCAGTCTACTGATACAGATCCCTGCAAACGTCTGCGGTGGTGGCCACGCCGTCTTTCCTGAAGATAACCAACGAACGGACACTGCAGCTCTCTGCCTTCTCTTCGAGGCCAACATATGAAACCAGACATCGCTTATGGGATAAGCTTACAAGGTCTCTGGGGAAAGATAATGGCAGGGGGTGGGCTGGTGCTCTCAAAACAGCCTCTCCTCTGTGTCCAAGAGCCGCCGAGTGAGGGATAGGGATCGGTTTTCCTAAGAGGTCAGACGCGGTCTACAGGAGACACATTTATTACCCCTGCTCCAGAGTCACCTTGCGATTTAGCGATATTTTTCAGCAAATTATGATGAGGTTTTCTGAAATTGTTCCAGTTTAGTATTAAAAAGGGTCATAAAAATGAAGTTTCTATATGCTACCAAATCGAGGGAGTAAAGGTTTACAGAAACATCTGGAAAATAAAGACGACATCTCATCAAGAGCAACTCAATACCTACTGCAATCCTGGCTGGAGATGCTGCTTCTAATAGAAACTCAATTTTAGACGGGCATTCCAGTGTAACCTTGCAAGTATTTTACTCTGCATTTCAATTTTGATAAGCTTTTTATCTGCATGGAGGTCAACATAATATATTATTTATCTGTTTGGAAATCCAAAGGAAAGGGTGAGAGACTGCACTGCATAAAACAATAAACTTGTGGAGGAAAATTAATACCGAGTGGATGGTTATTCCACCTTGCAGAAAGAGTATATTGCTGTTAGAGCACTTTGAACCAGAAATACTGCCCTGATAATCGTAATAATTTGTTCTGCTAATTCAAAAGTGCAGGAAAAGAAGGAATCTCCATCATTTATATAAATTTAAATAGGTGGTCCCCACTTCAACTGCTGATTCTTAAACACTGAACTATCTGCATTTGCAGAAAAATAAATCTGGAGATTATTTACCCAGTAAAGATACTATAAAATCACTACAGCATTGTTTGGAAAGCTTCACAGAAAAATAAAATTCAACAGGACAATAAAACAACATAAATAAAGTTAATTTTTCCTCCAGAAAAACAGACATTGCACATGCTTCTAAGAGCTGTATCATAATTTATTCTGAAACTGAGAGCTCATGTTACACTAACATCTGTTTAAAAGTTTGTAGCCAAATATTTTACAAAATACTGGTTTAGAGTATACGACTAGGTACCATACGATTCATTGTCCTCACTTGTTCGCAAACAAAACCGAAATGGTGCGTTGGGGTTTTTTTGTCTTTTAACCTCGAGTGGCTCGTTCAGCCTACCTCAAATGAAACCCAGAGGTGATGTAAGTGCTCCATGATAACGGCTGGAAGGAAGGAATATTTACAACTACCAACTAATATCTGAGACGCTTGCAAAGTGCGTTCCACCAGCATTTCTATTTCCCTCCTTATGTTATGTTTCGTCCAAGCCATATAGCGAGCATTAAAAAAAGATCATCGTTGAAAACTTGTAAGGCTTTATGTTTGGTGCAGTAGTGCCTTTTTGTAAACTCTGCTCACTCTTTAAAACAGGAGGCTTTCTCCTCGCTCCAATGAAATCCACAGAACACAAACAGAAAATAATTTAAATATTAAAAGTTCTTAGCTTTACATAAACACAAATAACTGTACTTGTAAAATGTTTCCTAGTGCCTTGCAGAAACAGATGGAACATCGCACTTTATTTGAAGGTACAGACCTGTCAAGACATAAATTACTTTAAAATGCTAACAGCCGGTTAAATGAAGTCAAGGTAGTTCAAGGCTTTCTTCCTTGAACTACCCCCTTTTTTTTGCATGGATTAACAGATCAATTATAGCAGCTTTTGCAATACCTACTTCTGATACCTTTACAGGAGGCAGCTGGATAACCTGCATTCTGCATCTTGAAGATCGCACAAGTCTTTCCTTCAGGTTTAACGTACGTCTTTTCTTAAATTCAGAACCGACTCTAACAAAAACCCACTTGTAATTGTCACTGCAAACCCAATTCAATCTAATCGCCGCAGCGTGATGTTAGATTTGCCGAGGTAGTTTTGACCAACTGCGTGTCACATTTTAAAAGATCCATTTCAAAGCAATTTTAATTTCAGATAACAGCTCAGAACATTGAACTCTCTTCAACAAGCTGGCTATTTATTTCTGTAACAACATTCATAGGAAGAGACTGAAAAGTAAATATATATTTTAGAAGTACGAAAGGTTTCTAATCATCATTTTTTTCTAAATAAAAATGATAAAAGTTTAATGAAAGCCCAAATACCTTCTTCAACTGCTGTTCCTTAAAGCACCTTACAGTCCTGGCTGGTTCAGAAATTAAGTTTTTATAGTTCTCACAGATGTTGAGTCGGGATTGGGCCACTTGCATCGTGCCTTCTAAAAGTGATTTCCAAACTGAGTACATGCTCCTAAAAGAATGAAACACAGAAAGGTTGTGGGCAGGAAGAAAGGGAGGCCAGGCATTACACTGAAATTATGGGTTGCCTTACAGAACAGTAGTATAATTCTTCAAAGGATTGCTTTTAAAAGTAAAGCTAAAGCACAATCCTTCATGCCGACCTAGCAAATATCTGCACTTTCAACAATAATTTTAACTGAAGTTTTACCAGAAGTAAAAATTTTCTCTCCTGTTTTGTGCTTCAATTTTTTGGCAAACATTTTCTGTCAAACCTGTTGCTCCAAGGGAACAGACCCTACAGAAACCAGCAGCCAAAGCCAGATCAGCTGCTGACAATTTTTTATAAGATCATGGACTTAGTGAGTTTGGGCATCTTGCAAATCAAGCAAATAGTTAGAAACTGCTCATCAATTTTGCCTTAGCTACCTGTAGCTCCTTCATCAGGCGTAACGGGCCAAAGACAATAACTGTAGCTGTGTAATGAGCTTTGCAGGGCCCCAATAATTCACCAGAGAAGCTCCCAAGCGCCCAAATCGGAAGGAGAAGGTGGAGCAGGGAGAGGGGGGGAAGAAGGCGACAAGATCTCCCCTGCAGCTGGTGTCAAGGGAAGATCCCCAGAGCTTGCAGAGCCCAGGTACTCAGCGATAGGGAGGGAGGGGGTGGCAGGTATTTGGAGAA